TGCTGCCTGTCCTGGGGACCCGGCTGCTCCTGCCTGTCCCCGCCAGCAGAAGCGTCTCGTCCCCATTCGTGGCAACACGTAAATCACATCTTTTGGAAACAGCACGCATTTCCCTGGGCTCGTCTCATCTGCTGCTTTCGGCTTATCCCAGCCCATGTGTAAATGCATCAGCGTCTGTTCAAACCCCCCAGCCTACGCTGGGACCCCTCCGGGGCGGGTGATGAGCAGGCTGGGCGAAGCCATCCCTGTGAGCATCCCCGGCGGTGGCAGGTGTCCGTGAAGCTGGAATCTGTCACTTAATGTCACCACGGCCCTCGTCCTGCCGGCACAGCCTTTTCTTCCGCTTCCTTCGGCTTTCCCACCACTTCCCAATACGTGCTGTACACGGAAAATGATGCTGAGGCGGCCGGAGCCATCGCGGCACTGTTGCTTACGGGGCTGAGATGCTGATCCCGGGGGCCTTTGCCCCGGCTGGGCAGCGATGGAGGCTCATGGGCAACGGGAGGAGCACAGGGCACTTGCAAAGACTTCCCAAGATAACAGTACGTGAAGAGGCAACTTTTTCAGGCCTCCCGGGATGCCAAGCCTCTCCCGCCCTCCGTCACCCCGTTATTACTTTAATAAAGTGCCAGAGGTGAGTGTCAAAGGGGGGAGTCAGGGTCAGGCTGGGCAATTACAAGGCTGCAGTCCAGCGCTGCCGCGAGGCTCAGGTCAAGCCAGGGGTGTTGCTGCAATTAAAGTCGGCGCGGAGCACAGGACGCGGATGCTCCCGTTGGTGCCGGCAGGCACCGACCCGGACTCACGCCCCAGCCGGCTGCAAACGTGGCCCCACTGCTGGCGGGCAGGACCGAGGGGGGGACAAAATGGAGTCGGGTGTGTGCTGGGGGCTCCCCGGCTCTTCCCTCCCACATTTCTTTGCCTTCATGTCACCCTGCCCGGCATGGACACTGATGCTGGCTGCCCTCTGTGATGGATTTCTGCTTTTTGACTATGCAAAATAGGCAGCAAACAGCCCCAGAGCTGCAATCGCTCGTACAGTGCAGGGGACTTCGGCTGCCCCGGGCTGGATGCGGCCGTCGCTGGGAGAAGAGGCATCGGTCTGCCGAGGGCTGTGCCTTGCTCAGCCTTCCCGACAACGGGGATGGGGAAGGACCAGGGACCCTGCCTCTGGCAAGGGGACAGGGTGACACTGCAGATCATGCCGTGGGGACGGGGAGGTGCTGAGCAATTGGTTTCTCCCCAACAGGGCATCGGGGCAGCTCTTCCCCTGGCCCCGCTCCCCATGGTCTCTAAGCCATCCATGCAGGCTAAGGCTTAGCTCAGCAGCTCCCAAGCTCTGGAGTCAAAATTGAATCAGCTGCTGCCATCACTTCCACCCACCCACCCACATGCAAATAAGCCCAAATGTCAGGAGTAATCGCTCCAGAGGAAAAGGAGGAGGGGAGGGAAATTTCCCAGGCTCTGCACCACGGTGCTCAGCCATGCCATGGCTTACCTGGGGCCCGGGTGAGTCAGTGCCCCAGGGACCCCCTCTGTGTCCCTAGCCCCACGGGAGATGGCTGAGACACCCCCGCCACCACCCTGGGGGTGTTGGAGGTATGTTTGGGAGCCTGCGCTGCAGAGAAGCCCCAAGAAACGGGAGCCTGGGGTGACCCCCCTTGGCCCTGCTCTGGATACACCCGTCTCCAGAATGCCGGGATTCGGCACCTGGTTTGGCTCCTCTGCCCCGGTGGAGGCAGGGCAGAGCCGTGGTGCTGCCTGGCTGTGGTGCCCCAGGCAGCACCGTGCCGGCCCTCCTGCCGGAGCCCATGATGCTGCTGGGTGTAAAATCATTCGCTTTGCCCCCTCCCCAGCCCAGCCAGAGCCCTCCTGGCTGCAGCAGCTTTAAATAAGCTTCTGAGTGTCTCACTAATCACCTTGGGCTGCTCTTCAGGCAGCGCTCGAGCACGGCTGGGGCTGGCGGAGGCTGTGCATGGGCCTTGCAAGGACCCTCCCCGCCCTGAGGAGCAAGTGGGGTACCCCCCTTTTCCCTCTGTGAGCTCCCCAGGAGCTGGGGTCCCCAGGGCTGCAATGTGCCTCAGTTTCCCTGCTGGAGCTGCTGGTACCGACCTGTGCACGACAGGTTGCTCCCGCCCAGGGTGGGCTCTGGGCAGATCGAGGCCGAAGGCTCATCAGCCCCCCGAGAGCAGGGGGGCTAAGCTCCCTCCTGGCACCGCTCAAAGCTGCTTAGGGGAATCAGATCGTGGGGATTTGTTTCCTAGAGCACCCAGCTGGAGGGGCGCTGGCCGGCTCAGCTCACCCACCGTGTCCTCGGGGGAGAGGGTGTGTGTGCCCCCCTCTCCGCGCGCGCCCCGCCACCTCCCTGGGACCCCCTCGCTGCCCTGCCAGCACCCCAAGCGATACCCTCCCGGGTAGGGGCCGCTTGCACCCAAGGGGCCCCCAGGGCAAAGGGGGTCTCCAGGCTCAGGGCTGCCAGCGTCACGTCGCCCTGTCCCTCCCATTCCCTGCTCCCATTACTGTGATTATGGGGCCGTTGCAGCAGCCACAGCAAAGCGGATCGGACAGGGTGTCCGGGGACCCAGTTAATCAGCATGGCACCAGAGGTGCCCCGGGCGCCCCTGCGTTAGATGAGATGAAACGCGCTGGGTTTGGGGTCTGTCCTGAGCCCCAGCACCAGCTCACCGGGACCGTGAGGATGGGGCGAAGCACAACCGTTCGCCCCACGGCACAACTGCAGCTACGCTGTGTCCCAGCCGGGCACCAGCCCCACCGAGAAGGACGAACTCCAGCCATGGCATCCAACTCCCTGCCTGAAACCACCCTCCAGCTCCAGGGCAGGGCCGCTGGGCTCTGGCACGGGGCTCAGCTCGGCAGCTCTGCTGATGCCACCGGCATGGGTAACGCAGACAAGCCGGTTTGTTTGCTTCCCCACGGGACCGGGCACCCTGTGCACACCCAAACCCCATTAGCTTTTATCCCCCATCCCGATGACACATCCAAGCACCGAGAGTAACGTCTCCCACCCCCGACATCCCCGTGCGGGGACAGCCCACAGCTGGCGGTGGCGTCGCCCGGCGCTCCCCGGCACGGCAGCAGCTCACCGTCCAGCCGCCCCCATCGGTTGTCATGTCGCAGTAGACCTGGAAGCCAGAGGGGTAGTGCGTGGGAAAGATGGAGTAAATCCCATCCTCTTGCTGTCCGCTCGCATAGATGTCAAAGCAGTCTCGGGGCCGGGAGCCTGCAGCGTGGCATTGGGATGGGGCAAGATGGGAGGAAAGTTGGTTAATTAATGATCTAATTTAATGTTTTGCCATTTCTTTCAGGCTCTCAACCTTGCTGCCAGCTCTAGTTG